TAATTTATTATCAATAAGCTCATTGTTTTAATCATGAAGACTAGGTAATATATATAGATAAATATCTAGTTTTCATGGTTTTATTATTAATCAATTATCAATCAAGTACTTTAATAATAAAGGATAAATTTCATCATCTAAATACTTTCTTTCATTTGTTTTATTATATTTTATAACATGAATACATATTATGTACAGTATTGTCAGTACTTATACGTACCTACATGTAGTGATACAGTACCCTTTTTGTGAAATTACTTATATCAACAAAAACATGACAAGTAGTTAGACTAATTTTAAATATGTCCTTCAATTTTGAATATTAAAAACAAAATGAAACAGAGAACATAAACGCGAATAAATAATTTTGACATGTCTGTCAAGCATCATTTGATGATTCAAAAGCAAATAAAATATCTATCCATGAACGATATGAACATAACGACCATGATGAAAAAATTTAACTGAATAAGGATGTTTTAAATTTTAATATACAGTCTGATGATTTGGATGACATTAATTTGAGTTCAAAATAGCATATGCACAGAGATAATTTAATAAATTTAATAATCAATAAATATGTTGATATTCGTATTTTTCACGAAATTAGAAAAATAAATGATAACAATATTAAGGAAAAACGTACCCGAGCTAAATTAACAAAGCTTATTCATTTTAGTCATGAGTAAATAATGTGTATTAAATATTGTCATTATACCGACTTATGGATCCAAATTGTGATTTATATATTTATTTAAGATTCGACATAGGTAATATCATTTTAATTATAAATTATAAGTAAATATAAGTATGATTTTGTTATTCAATATTAATATTAAAAATTAACATTAAATATAAAATATGATGAATAACGAAAAGAACTGAATATAAAAAACACCTATTATAGTTATTAATTATTTAAATTAACAATTTGACATTTTGATAATTGATAAGACCCCTTGTAACCTCAAAATAAATATTTATTCCCGTGTGATAAGTTGTAATGGCCTATCCATTCTTCTATTATCTATGGTTTAGACGCTCCTGCTATTATTTCACTGTTATCATAAATAATTGATAACAGTTTCGCACATGTGCATCCGAATTTGTCCTCCGAATAGTATTATTTTGCTAAAGTTCATACTATAATAATAATATTATGCTCTTTTGACGATTCGAAATTCATTACCTATTCGCTTCAAAATAATTCGATAACATGCGGCTCAAGCGCCACCAAAAAGCTGAACGTAACATTAATTTTTACTGTATCAACTTTGGTTTCCGAAAACCTTTTCAAGTACTTGTCGATGGCACATTTTGCATGGCTTCGGCACAAGTAACTATACAATCTCATATAGATTTAGTTTTAACAATATTCCCTGTAATCTTGCCAATTGTTAGCTCTAATTATTATTATTTTTTTTTACAATTATCCACAGAACAGAGTGCAATTACGTGATAACATTCCAAAATACTTGGGTGGTGAAGTGAAGTTTCTAACTACACAGTGTGTTGTACTTGAAACCGAAGCCCTAGGTTAGATGCATATTATGTTAATTTTTTTCTTATTAATTCAAGTTTAATTCTATTTTTAGGCGCTGCAGTTAGACCAGCCATGCATATTGTAAAGAATTTTGGCATACATAAATGTGGACACGAAAAGAAACCTATATCCGGTGCAAACTGCTTGATTTCTATGACAAAAGATAATATGAAAACAAGGTGAAAAATAAATATTAAATTTGATTGATATAGTATGGAAACTATTTAAGATAAAACTTGTAACTAATATTAAATGAAAATCTTATTTAGTCTAATTGCAAATTATAAATTAAATATTGATAAATACAAAACTTTTTTAGAGTAGAATAATTTAATGACCCATTGTAATTTTTTCATGGATAATTTGTACTGTTTCCAAAACTTGTACCTATCTAATATACATAACATTTTTTTTTAAGTATAGAATACATCTAATTTTAACTGTCATTTAAGAGTATATTAAAAATATATATCACAACATTAGAATCATAATTTATATTTATATTTATAGTCATTTAAAAATCTTCATTTTTTTCATAATCTATGTTTTATTAAAATTATTTATCAAAAAAAATATTCAGTTAAAAGTATTAAATTTTCTAACTTTTGTAAAGAAATCAATTTATGTATATCAAGTTAGGTATAAACAGTACATTTTTATGGAATTATAATAAATTAAAAAAAAAAAAAATAACTAAAAATTACTTCTTCTCATTAATTTGATTCCTGTTTACTATGAAAAACAATAAGTCACATTAAATATACAAATTATACATAGTTTATCTAAATCTGTTTTATAAAGTTATCTTATAATTAACAAACAAATTTCATTTTTACAGATACATTATTGCTTCTCAAGATAAGTCTCTCCAAAATATCTTATACAATATCCCAGCTATTCCAGTTATGTATTTTAATGGTTTAAATGTCCTACTAAAAGCACCTTCTCCAACTTCCATAGAACTTGCTCACAAAAAAAGACAATCTAGGTAGGTATAATATAATATTATGACAATTTATATATATATATGTGGGATGGTAACACTGGGGTTGGTCAGGCCAATCCAAGGCGGTGTGATAACCTGTCTGGAGAGGGCAATGATATTGTGACGCCCAATGAGTTATTATGAAGAGTGTTATAGTTGTTATATATTTTATTTGTTTTTAAGTGTTTTGTAATTTGTTGTTGCGTTGTAATATATTGAGCCTAAGGTTAACATTCATCTAACGTTATTCCTACTGATCCCACATATAAATATTCCTAATGTTATAACTTTTATGTATTCGTTTATTTTTAGATTTAGTTTAACAGAATATGAAACAAATACATTGACCAATCTAAAGAGTTCAATAACAACAGGACTAGTTAGCAGTGATGAATTTAAAGATTATCCTGGGATATTTAAAAGAGCTAAAGGTCCAAATCCACTCTCATGTAAACCAAAAAAAAAAAAGAACAATGAAGACAATGTACCAAAAGTAGAAAATAAAATAAAACGTAAAAGGAAAAGAATTAAAATACCAAAACATGTCAAAGAAGAATTAAAAATAATAAAAAAGCCAACCACAAGTTCATGAAATATTTAGATTTGAAAAATATGTTGTATAATTCTTTCTATTAACTGTAAATATATTTCATTTTTTGAATTAAATTATTATGTTCTTTTATTTCCTAAATAGTAATATTTATTTAACACTAATATAATATAATTTAATTTTAATTTTTATTGGTTTGAATTAATAATATACTGTTTATTAAATATTGATTTATTTGTAATATTTTTTCTCTGTTTTATAATTGTAAATTGTTTCACATTTTAATCTAATTATATTAAGTTTTATTTATTGGTTACACAGATAAGGAAATTTTCACTGTATTAAAATAAGGTTTTACAATTTAATGATTTCCCACATGATGTGAATACTTAGTTTGATTATTAAAATAATTTAAGAAGTATAATTAATGTTTATAAATATAAAAAAATTGTAACATTAAAACTATAGATCTATCTGACACTTCCTACTAAATAAATAAGATTGTAAGTTTTTAGTTAATTTTTTTAATGTTATTGCAATATTGATTTATTTTTAAAAATATTTAATAAAATAATAATATAACATTTCAAACATATTCTAGGCTTTAAATCAATTTTCATTTTACCTGCTAGAATATGATATACTAAATTGACCTTAAAATATAGAGAGACAGTATTATAGTTACTTTTAGCTAGTATTAGTAGCTCAGTATGTAAAGGATTAGTTTTAAAACTATGTTATATTGTAGATACAGTAACTTCACATTGTTATACAATTTTTAATAACAAAATAAAGTTTCTATAATAAATTAGCAATACAGCATTAGTAAATAAATGTATTCATAATATAACATAAGTTCTATGAGTATTGTATTTAATGAACAAAATTAGAAAAATGTAGGTCCGAGATAACTTGGTTTTTTATGCATTTTAGTAATTCAATAGTTGTTTATTTTTAAATACTTAAGACGAGATTATAGTTTTACGCATAGGTTGACATCGGGGGTAGGGGGAGCTTAGTCCTCCTAAAATCGAGACTGTTGGAAATGTTATTCATTGTTTTTATAATTATCTGTTCGTTTTTTTAAATTCGTAAGATAAGAAATAATAAAAAACTATTTACACTAGCATTAAAAACACCAATTAGTTCAGCTACTTGCGAAAGAAGTTTCAGTGCAATGATAAAAATAAAATAAAAACTTGGCTAAGGACATCGTTGGTTCAAGATAAGTTCAGTGATCTTTAAATACTATATATTAAAAAAGATATATCGAAAAATATAAAAAACGATGATACTTTAAATATATGTTATTTAGTGTTTTTTTAATACAATTTAAACGTACCAATATTTTTAATAGTAATAAGTTTTACTTGTGCATGGGAAGGGGGAATGGGGACGATGCACCTGCGGATTATTTTACTTAGAATTTTTATAGCCGACCCAAAAATTCAACCAAATGTCCGACTATGATTTTACGGAAAGGAAAATTCAAAAACTCTATGTATATCCACACTCCGTTTTCGAATCATCCCGCCTAAAGATATGAAAACGGACATGCTGCACTATCATATCAACATGTGCCGTAACAAGATAATTCGCGCTTTACGTTCCATGAAATGTTTGAGGTTACATTTACCAAAACAAGTCTCCACTACCCCGCCTCTACAACAGTGCTATTCCATTCTGTTCTTTCGTGTTGCGATTCCGTACCCGTTATAACAGTGCTCAAGGGAATCAATCATGGTCGTCGAAGACTCGAAGGTGAGTTTAAATCCGTGACGATCCGTCATCTGGTCGTTCCTTAACGTTCGGCTTTTGGTTTCCCGTCAACGTTCAAAGGCCCTCTGCCGGAATTTCATCTGAAAAGATCTTTTCGACTCGGCCGGGCACCTACCTATAGCCCAGCAGTCCCAGTGCACCGTATTTAATTCGTTGAGAGAGCTACTATACTGCTCTGAGCCTCGTAAATCGGTGCCAAATTATCAAGATTCTTATATTGCAATATACCCTCACGCTTTACTGAGGCGTAATACTCATTAAGAATACATAATTATACTATAAACAATTGTATCTTCTTCGTGCCTATAAATCACTTAGTAGGCCCTAGGAATTCGTTTTGTTTTGAATAACATTTAATAATGTCTATATTTTTCTCTGTTGCAGAAAGGCGGCGACAAAGCCAAATCTTCAGAAAAGGCAAAAAATCGCATGCGTGAATTGAGAATTCGTAAATTATGTTTGAATATTTGTGTTGGTGAATCTGGTGACAAGCTTACCCGTGCTGCCAAGGTATGTTTTTTATGGTTTTTTTTATTTTTTCCGTGAAAACAATTATTATAAATATCATTATTTTTCAGGTATTGGAACAGTTGACTGGTCAACAGCCAGTGTTCTCCAAGGCTCGTTATACTGTCAGATCTTTCAGTATTAGAAGAAATGAAAAAATTGCTGTCCACTGCACAGTCCGTGGTGCTAAGGCTGAAGAAATCTTAGAACGTGGATTAAAGGTTCATTTTGTTTATAATACATATATATTTATTTATCAATTATATTGTATCAAATGTTTATTCTCATCCAGGTACGTGAATATGAATTAAGACGAGAAAACTTCTCAGACACTGGAAATTTCGGTTTTGGTATCCAAGAACATATTGATTTGGGTATTAAATACGATCCCAGTATTGGTATTTATGGTTTGGACTTCTTCGTCGTTTTAGGACGTCAAGGTAAACATTTTTAAATAAAATATAATAGTAGGTTTATGTTTTAATTTTTGTTATTCTGTATATTCATAATCATATTTTATTTCTATGAATTAAGTTGGTTAAATTCAATGCCAATTATATTTTTCTGGCATTTATGTACTGTATATTATTAGCTGTTTTCCGTTTAAATATTCACTATTTATTTTATAATGATCATAATAGATGATGATTTGAGAAAATGATTATATTAACGTTCAGCAAATTCCATTGTTGCATCTGCTTATAATTATTAACTGGAGTAATACTTCTTCATCCATTATATAATTTATTTTTGTAGTGTATGTTTATTTTATTTTGATTTTAGTAATTAAAAAAATAGTTGAATATGCTAAGATCTATGAATATATTTGTACCTAAATATAATTTAAAGCTTTTATTTACTACCTTAACCTCCCGTGCACTTCGTAGCCCGTTTAAAATCCTACCTCATATATGTCTCAAACTGTGTGTTAAATTCATTATTTGTGATTATGCTAGTAATATATTTTTATACATATAGATCAACAACAGTTTAAATATACTATGTAATAATCTTACAACAATATTAAATTTAATAACTTAATTCGTTTTATCAAGTAAGGTCCGATAATTCATGTATTCAATTGAATGATATTTATTGATGTGCAATATCATATATGTGATACACAATATTCTTTGTTCTTCTGGTATGTTGACAAATAAATCAAAAAGTTTTCCGACATGTAAGCATGCCACATACAGCTGTTCATGTGAGAAGCATATATTTTCATAATTCAATCCACACGCTTGTAGTGATTGTCCTTGTGTTTGTTGATGATCATTGTAAAGGCAAATAGCATCATACACTGCAAACATTTGAGTTTAAAAGGCATATCTGTTTGAATTATTGGGATGCATGGCAACTGTACATCTTCGCCTTTAAAATTGTAGTTTTGATAAAACTTTAAATTCAGAATATTGTTTTTTATTTTAGTAACGTTGTTTCTAATATTTAATTTTCTTTGATTGGGTTATAAATTATTCTTTATTGTTCATTTTTTTGTTATATTTGTTAGATCAATGACTAATTGTATCTTAAATTATTGTATATTATTATATGTTCGGAATAAATACAGAATTGTGCAATTATCATACCTAATTTATTTTATAGGTTTCAATGTAGCTCACAGGCGAAGGAAACAAGGCAAAGTTGGTTACCAACATAGACTTAACAAGGAAGACGCTATGAAGTGGTTCCAAACTAAAGTATATATCTCCTTTGCAATAATTAGTTCAGCAAAATTAATTTTTCTTTTTTTTTTTATAGTATGATGGTATCATTTTAGCTGGAAAGAAGAACTAATATTAATTGCCTTGGTAATCAATGCAAAAAAAACTCCAAAATATACCTAAGTGTTGTTTTTCAAACAAACAGTCTTTTTTTATTTCAACCTTATTTTCTTCCTTCGATATTATAATTTTAATATTAATTTGTCTTGCATTATGATTAAGGTAATTCTTTTAAAAATTATATTGTAAAAAATTCTATGAGTATATAATAATTTAGATCTGTGATTGCCAAATATCAGAACATGTTACCTTTTAAGGATATAAAGTATTTTTTATGAAATCCCTGTTTTTAAATTAATTTATTGTAACTTATATATAAAATGATAATAACTCGTATATTGAACATTTTTATGTTTTGTTTCAATATTTAAATGTGACATCTAATGCTGATAATAATTTTGTTATAATGTAATTATAAATAACTTTCCATTATTAAATGTTAATTTTTCATTGAAATCTGGTTTCTTATATAATTTTTTTCTTTTTATAGCACATTTATTCTGTACAAACTACTTGGATAGCCCAAAAAAACCTAAAAATGTATATTCATTAACTCTAATATAGCTGAGTTTAGCAAAAATAAGTGATGGAAAATGTTTTTAAACGAAAAAAAATATAATAACAAAATCAACTAATAAAACGAAAATAAATTATTTTATTATACTATTATTATTTATTATTATGAAAATAAATATATTAATAGCATAGGGCAATAATTAATTACATAAATACTCCACATGGCACATACATATTGTAGTGGTGACGGTAAAATTATACTATCTTTCATGATGACGGTCATGGATCATAATGTAATCTACAACATGGTTACCGCTTCAATTATTATAATATGATTATATTATCTATTAATTTTAGAAATTGATTTGGTTTTATAAATTATTACACCTACTCATTCTATTGACTATTATAGTTAATTGTAACAATAACATGACTATCGATAATTTATTAAAATATTAAATAATTAATACATAATAAAAATATAAAATAATAAATCCTGTTATGTATTATAAAACCCTTAAGGTTTAAAGGTAATATATTATCTAATATATAAATTTATCTACCAAATAAAGATACTAATTTTAAAATAATATTAGATTTTTATTTCAGGATAAAACATTGTTTCAAACAATATATGTTTATGGTAACTAAAAACAAAAAATAATAGAAATAATTGTTATTCATATAATAATATAACTTATATATGTTGTATTACTAATCAGTCTGCAAAAATCAAAAAAAAAAAAAATACATCTTTGTAAAATCAATATCACTTCGTTCAGAATCTAAAATATATACATAATTATCATAGTTAAAATATTTATCCTGTAGTACCTTTAAAAAATGTTGTACTACTGTTCGGTCTGTAAAATTCAAAAAAATAAAATTATAAAATATAAATTAAAATTTTTTACTACTGTTAAATGTGTAAAATTTAAAAAAAAATAAAATTAATATTAGTTAAAATATTTATCCTTTGAGTAACTGAAAAAAAAATATTATAAAATATGAATTAAAAATTCAAGTCTTCTGTCTATAAAAAAATATACATACGAGTATATTAAAAGTGTAAAATGTATAAATATTCAATATTAAAACTTTAAAAAGGTCCATGGCTTTAAGCATTTGTTTGGTTAAGTTTATGTTCAATCCTAGGTTTCTTTTTTTTTTCACTGTAGTCTTTTCTCCTAATGGAGGTCGACCGGCTAATAATCATTTACTTCCTTTAGCAACTTTTGCAGACCTCGCAATTGACGTTGGTTGAACTTTGATCATAGCATTAAATGAGTAGTCAGCTGAGTTCTTGCTGAAATGTACATTATAATTTATAAGTGCTACAATAAACACTACAAACATATAAATTGTTGTTTTGGTCACCTTCCCAATTGACAATTCAAGACTATCTAAAGTCAATGTCTGTCAAATTAATTTACATATCTGCATAAAAACATAAGTATATATATATATATTGCTTATACTACCTTTATAAATGGATCTTTTTTTTAGTTGCAGTAGTATTAAGTTTTATTGTTATATCAATTTTAGGTAGAAAATTCGCATTTTTGGATAATCTTTTGTTATTTGTATTAGGTTATTTAAAATTACTATGTTGACATACAAATTTTTTACTAAATAAATATATTAATTCATTTTAATAAGTACTTATGATAATATTTGTTATTTATAATAACTGTAAAATAACTTACGAGCAAACAATTCGTTGGCCATTCGGAATACTGGAGCGATAGTTCCAATTACTTAAATTCAACTCCCCAAATTCTGAAACCCAATTATTGATATCTTCCATACAAGATATATTTGATCTTATGTTGACGGTATTCCCAATTTCCCAACAATTTAATTTTCATATTTTTTTGGAAATATCATTTTGTCAAACTTCAAATTTATAAGTAAGTATTAAAAGATTTTTAAAATTATTTTACATTTTTTTTATAATTATAAAGTAAACAACGATATCAATTTTTTTAAGTATTTGAAAGTGTTTATGAATACTTTTTTGAAGTATCTGGATTTGTACTTGAATGCTTTTTTTATCAAGTATTCAAATACTTTTGAAAACAGGTATCTATATTTTTATTTGAATACCTATAAAGTATCTTTTACAATACTGTTGATCTGTATTAATAATACTGTTGTATAATATCCAGTTATAAAAAATATTGCTATTATACCAAGAAATGTAATTACATATACCATATTTTCCACTTATATAGGTTATTCGTAAAAAGTTTAATAAGATTCATCTGATAAATATTCGGTGAATCTTATAAGACTTACTAAGCACGATTTTTTTTTAAGTATTTTTTTTCATTTAGAATAGGGTAATCATTAATGACTAATGTGATAGATACTGTTGATTCCTTTAACTAAAGGCTAAATTGCCATAAATAATAAATTATAAATTCTCCGAAATTATACATAAAGTCTCAATAAGAATTACAATATAATTTTATTACACCTGTATCTATCAGATAAGTTATTATGATATATAATTAACACGCACATTGCACATATATAATAATAAATATTGTATACAGTACATAGGCGTGCGTAGAGAGTATGAAGGGTATGCTACTGCATACTCTAAACATAGAGCCTTCTTTCTAAAATTACAAAAAATAAATAAAAATTATGACATATTTGGTCTTCCGTATATATTATGTGATTTTGTATTACATTATGATTTTTATTATATTTTTATATTCAGTCCTAGACAGTTTAATTTATTTTTGAAACACAAATCATATGCTATAATAATGATTTAATGTGTTAATGAAATTAAGAAGTACAATAATTCAAGCGAGATTAAATAGCTATCAACTACAGAACAAGAAATGGCTATAAATTAAAATCGTGAAAACATTATTGGTGTTATTAAGAATTTAACTGTACGCAGAATCGTTTTATGATTTATTTTGATTATTTATCAAATTTATGTTGTTTTTCATTTAAGTATATAATTACGTTTTTATTTATTTACGTATTTAAGCGTATTACTTAAACCATTTCAAGTGTTATGTATTTAATTTTTTTTTTCGTAATTTATTTTAAATTTTAATTATTAAGACAGTTATAACGATTAAGAAATGACTATTCAGTCACTTTTTTTAAGAAAAAAAATTTAAATTTTAAATTAAATATTTATTAAGACCAGAATTTCGAACGCTTAAATTAACTTTCAGTTTAGAGGGGGGGAAGACAGTGGCAGCCTTTTGCATACCCTGAAAAAGAGGTTTGCGCACGCCTATGATACGGTATGAACTATATGGACTTTGAGACAGAAGAATAAGTCAACAAATATATATTAAACAGCCATCATACATCACCACTTGCGTAATAATACGTATAAACGATATTTTTCAGTTGTGGCAAATATTTAACTGTCTTTTATACAATATTTGCTAACATCTATATTTCTCTGCCCCACATTACACATTTTATAAATATAATACATCAGTTACATCTAGTTATAATCACCTTTGATCTCATAACATTCATAACTCATGATGCAGTTACTTTTCCGTATAATAATATCGACTACACGGGAAAAAAATGTACCAACTTATCCATACTTACGCATTTTTATTTTTAAATAAATACGCATACATTTAAATGTTTTAAAATTCACTTTTTAAAATTTGCCATTGTTATTATGCAAGGTTATTAAAGTATTATTTTTGTGTTCCGCACCAATGTACAATTATAGTTGAGTAAACTAATTCAGGTATTACACCACTCAATCACTGACTACTATGTATATATTACGCATATAATAATGTTATAAAGTATACAAATTATACACACTCGGTAGTCTATATGCTCAAATACTCCGTAGTTAATGGTAATATCTAATAGCTGCATTTTAGTTATTCTACTTCTTCTGAATTCTACGTTGTAATAATATTACTAATATTTATTAATACGAGCGTACTCGAGTTGAATTTATTTAAATTAAGACATTTACTTATGGAAAATGCGTTTTAGTTTTTAACTTGTCAGCTTTCACCTTCGATTTCAGTAATAGGCATTATACGAATACTCTGAAAAATCGAAAGAATGATCAATTATTAGTTATTTAGAAAAAAAAATGTTTTATATGAATCATATACCACTCTTGTTTCTTGTTGATCAGTAATAATAAAATATAAACTTGTACATATATAAAGAGAGAGAGAGAGAGAGAGAAAGAGACAGCAATTCCATTTATTGATACAAACAGATGAAGTCTGAATGAAATATAATAATAAAATAGGTAAGTTAAATAGTTCAAATAATCCTTTAACTTAAGTTTCTTTAGCACGAAAAGAGGTACTTGGGGCTTGAAAATCAATTTTTCTTAGAACTGCTTGAATCGTTTTACAACTTGATTACTACGTAAAATAACTTTTTATATATTTAAATCATCATTGCCTTGACGATTTTCATATTTATGTACTATAAATATCATAGAAAACTCAGTCTCTTTCCACCCTCTTCCACTCCAACAAACAAATAATTAAAGCTATTCGTAGTCATTTAAGACTCTTGTACGAACCAATTACGTATTTGAAGGATGGCGATGGAGGCAATTGCCCCCCCTCCAAGAATTTTTAAACCAAGACAATTTTTATATAAGTAATGGGTATTTTATTAAGAAACAAAAATTATGATTTATTTTATAGTACTACATTTGAAAACGTTTCAAATTTTACAATAATTTAAATAACGCAGAACGCTACATTTTTCATAACGTTTTAATTGTCAATAACGGTAAACGAGAATTTTTTTTAACGTTTATATTATTTATAGCGTTAAACGCTCAATTGCTTATAACGTTTATATGTCCCATAACCATAAATAATACATATTATTTTGATTGAAGACCAGTCCATACTAAGTGAAAAATTAGATAAAACAAAAGCAAAACTTTTAAAACATAGATAGGTATTAAAAAAGAACATTCTAAGTGGATCTGGCATTAGATTAAAAAAAAAAAAAAAACCACAAATATTAAGGATTCACCTGATATAAATATTACCAAAAATTGTACTTGTAAATTTTGAGCCTGAATTAAAGAAAAAAAATTTGAGTCACCCCCCCCCCCCAGAAGTAAGTCCAAATACGCCCCTGGTACGAACCTCGAATTCCCCGCGATCAAAATTCGATTAAGAAAAAAAGCTTTTGTGCAGTGTGATCGTCACACTATGTTCTCTTCACTTCGTCCGATGTGGTCATGCTGCCATGTTATTATCTACTGCTTCGTGAACGGGGACCATATCTTAAATCATGACAGAAACTAATAAAAATATTATTGTCTGTGATTACTCTATATTTTTATAGTAATTACTTTGAGCGTAAGCAAAACAACCGGTTGATCAGTTAGAGTATAAATCATCCTCGCCGTCTGCGTTGACCCTGAACCGAACGAATATCTTGTTTTCGTGATCCGTCTACCGACCAATAAATATTTCACTGTTAGTATATCAGGTGCAATTGAAGTTTTTCTATGCGAACTAAAAACGTTGAAACTCCGACCACATATAACGATAAATTACTCTATTCGGCACGCGAACAGTTATATTTTATTTATTTTAGTTAACTTTTTAGTTATTTTGGATTTCCCCTCTGACTATGCACTGAACATAATATTATATATTAAATACAGTACTGACTGTTTTCTATATTATATTTTTAAAGATCTACGTTAATTGTAAGGACGGAACCTGGCAAATCTATAAGAAGTGCAAGTGTACAAGTAAGTACTGACCATCTAGAACTTGCAATTTTGACATTTGGTAAATAAACATTATTTTACATTGTACTTTTTGAGATAGTTTTATTTGGAATTTTGAACTCCCCTTGCGTTATGTGTTGATAACATTTAAACCTTTCAATTGTTCTATTCAAATCCGATGCACAATCTTAAAAAAATTATATGAGTATTCCATATTACATTCTATAATTTTTATGTTATATAGTATAACTAGCTGAATAACCCGGCTTCGCCCGTGTACAGTTTTTTTGGGTAACCTACTATAACTTTTATTTTATCAGTTTTTATATTTATTTCAGGCTGCTTTTAGATAAGTTTATCCTAGGTTGCCCATGTATTGTAACAATCAGAAGTCAGCAAAAAATTACTTTATTTTAATATTTTGAAGAAAAATTGTAAGATACAATTCTAATCGATGAAATGTTGAAATAAAATATACCCAAAAAATTATAACTTTTTGTAATTGAAAAAAATTTTTTACGTATTATTATAATTATTATTACTATTATTAGTATTATTCATATTATTACTATTTTTACTTCTTATTATTATTGTAACATTATATGCATTATGGTGTTATAGAAACCCACCAATATTTATATTGACATATTTTGTTCATTTCAATACCTCTTTATAAACAGTATTTTTGGTACTGCCTTTTGGGGCTAAAATAACCAAACTACTGGCAGAGCTAACTCTAGAACATGCGACATATAACTGTCCATGTGAAAAACATAATTCTCTCAAATCAATCCCTGCCATGCTCAATGATTGTCTTTGAGACTTATTAATAGTCATAGCGAAGCAAACTTTGAGTGGGAATTGTATTCTTTTAAACTCAAAGGGATAATCAGTTGAAATTAACATTAGTCTCGGGATTAAAACTATATTTCCCCTAGCACACCCAGTGATAACTATAGCTTCTATTACATTTTTATGCAGAGCTTTAACTTACAATCTAGTTCCATTACACAATTTAGGTGGGTTAAGATTTCTTAGTAACATTACAGGTGCTCCAATTTTAAGGACAAGTTTATGTGATAGAAGACCAGAAGGATACAGAGTATTAAGAAATTCTAAAGGGTAATGGACAGCATCATCCGATTGGATCACCAAATCAAAAGATTTATATTCAACAGCTTTTTCATTAAATAACTTTAGTAGAATTTCATTGATTTCGGCTGCCTTGTCGTTCTTTGGAGTTAAGATGGCTTGCATGCACAACCATTCGGTGGGTTTCATCTTGATATTTATTATATCCGGGTAAATTCTGGAAGTTAGTTCTGATAAAGAGCTAACAACTATACACAAATTTGAGGGAATAGTGATCTCACCTTCCAATGAAGGGAAATTTCCGTCTCCTATTTTAAGTAACATTTCAGTGAAAATACCAGCAGATGTGTCTCCTTTCACATGAACCCTCATATTTTTATGAAGTGCAACTTTCTGGATATGTGGCCACAAATACGAAGCTTTTAGACATAACTTTACTTCATCAGCCCTTGTACCCCTAGGTATAACGAGTAATGTTTGCCGAAAATCTCCTGCTAGTAGCACAGTGACTCCACCCATCAAACTATTATATCTTCTTATATCTTTTAATGTTCTATTAAGAGCTTCAAAGTCACATTTATGGACCATTGTGCATTTATCCCAAACTATTAACTTACAGTCTTTTAGAACTTGTGCTATATTACTCTGTTTGGAAATATTGCACATTCTCGTTAGGTTTAATGGTAATTTAAATACAGAATGAGCTGTTTTACCTCCTTCTAGTAATGTAGCAGCGATGCCTGAAGAAGCTATAGCCAAAGCTATTCCATGATCTTTTCGTACTCTGGCTAATAAAATATTTATGACAAATGTTTTACCAGTGCCTCCAGGTGCATCTAAGAATAATGTTTGGCCAGTGATCTTTTCAATGTCCTCTAATATTTTGTCATATACATAGGACTGTTCATTATTTAGTAAATGTTCATTAAAATTTATATACTGTGCCAAAATATTTGAATCATAATTGATCTCTCGAAGGTAATCTTTATTTTGTAAGACTGCTTCACATCTTGATGGCTGAGGTAAACCATAATGTTTACAAAAATTTACCTCCCAGAGATAGAACTGTATCTTCAAGAGTAACTAAGCATTTATTGTATACTTCATTAATAACTGAATTCACATTCTCGTGTTGTATATCCAACTCCACTCGATGCCATATATCTTCTGAAAGACTGTCCTTGTATTTTTCCCAAAAACTTAAAGCATCTGACAATTGACAAAATATCAACATAAATGCAAAAAGTTCCCGTAATTTAAATGGAGAACCACAAAGCATAGCTTCTTCCATAGTTGTATCCCAGTACCTTTCGTCTTCCAGTAAGCCTAGAGCCTTACACGCTGCCTGATAAGTAGGTTGAATTGTGCCGTTAACAGTTTTCAATTTCAAAAAAGATGTAGGACCTCGGATTTCATGAAGTAAAAGGCGAAGATAGTAACACTCGGTATTATTAGGGTGAATGGTATATACTCTACCCAAAGCTTGATCTCTTTTTATTCCCGGCCAAGTCAGACAAGCTTGCAAACTACCAATTAAATGATACACCTGACCTTTCACTTTGAATGTGAGCATAAATCCATCTTCGATAATTTGTTTCGCTCCAAAATATGTCATTTGGAAGCAGTTATTGTATTTTCTAATACGGTCAATGAAATTTTTGTGATCAGGATGGAACCCCATAATCAAACTGTAAAGAGGTTCAGGAAGAGGTAAAAAATATGGAAGTTGTACTTTACCAGCACTACAACACATTCCAGGCGCCTCTCTGCATTTAAGAGCATTGCAGTATACGCATTTATGACTCATAGTACCCAAAGATACAGTTTTATCCGTTTCATAAGCTATTTCCGATTCATATGTCATGCCGGAAAAAGCTTTTATTTTCTATGGAAGGCTTCGCCTTTCTGATCGGCCTCCTGGATTATTTTGTTCATATCTATGAACTTGTGCTCTATTTACTTCTGGATTTTTTTTTTTTTTTTTTTTTATATTTGGCTGCTGCTACTTTATGAACTTCTTTATTTTTTAGTTATTTTTTATTTAGTAGCAGATTGTATAAGCTGTTTTTTTCTGATATTATTTGTAAATCTCTTTAAAGCTCGTAAAGCTTTTGTGAGTTGGGTATGTTATCAAACTAGTCACATACAGATATAGTCAATTCATCTTCATATGGTAAATAAACATCAAAATGCCTATTCGATAGGTTTTGCACAGAACTAAAACGAAATCTCTTTACGGGGTTCCTTTCTGAACCAAATTTTTCATACAATTCACCATTGAGGTACACCTCAATAAATACCGAAAATAATTGTCCGGCTGCCACCAGCTCACATAAATCTCTATAAGTATTAAATTTTAACATATCAGTAAAGTAGTTAGCAGAACTACGATAATTATTTCCATCACTATCATGTGACATTATTGAATAATCTTCCCAGTGATTTATCACATAGGTTACTTTTTTTTTACGCACTTTTTGGGCCTTATCTTAAATGTCATATAACACAAAAGATATTGCCCTAAACAGGCAAGCTCCGTCACTAATAATTGGAATGATAGTGTGGGGCATCAGTGTGCCATTTATGTTCAATTATTCGACAACCATATTAATTATTTTTTTATTAATTTGTAAGAATGTAAAAAATTTTATTTTAATACACTTAAATGTCTAGAAAGAACCGTACATAAACTGGGGTACGTATACGATGACGCATTAATATTCGAAAATAATAAGTAAAACACTTTAAATAAACTTTGTATGTGTACGTATACGAAGACGCTTATTATTAAAAATTAATAAGTAAAACACCTTGTGTATGCGTAAACGCTAAAGACTTATCACAACTTCACAGCATGTGCCGAATACTACAATAATAAGTAAAACACTTGACTAATAAGTGTACGTGTTTATTTACTATAGTATACATTTGGAAGTACACGTACAATAGTTCGCAAGCCGTAAGTGTCGTCATACAAATGAAATTGTCGCGTCCTGCGTAGTCACATAATATATAGGTTTATAAATAATATGGTTGCGGAACGAACCGTGAAAATATGGAACTTAAACGTATATTGGCTTTCACACCAGCACACAGCGCGCTCTAGGTGATAAATTGTATGACTACATTTATAAATATATTATTCTGTATTTCTGTCATACCTACCTATTTATTGTTTTTCAATAATTATACAGAAGTAAAATATAGTAATAAAAAATAATATTTATGTTCCTATATACGAATAATCCGCATACTTCTCGAAACACAATTCAAATGATTTTATAATTAAGTAAACGTGATGATTAGGGTGTGTTAAATAACCTCTTGTTTTTACATTTACGAAATCTGTAGCTGGATGTGAAACCTGTCCATATTCTGTGTGTTGTTTTTGAAACTTCATGTGGATATTTCACGCAACAATTAGTCATATTGATATATACCAATTTGGTCTTTAGCCCGTAAGCCTCCCCTTCGTACACCACTGGATTATATACTTAAATTATAATATAGTATAATTTATATGTCTGTATTATATATAGTCGTGGTTAACTTATATTATATACTCTGCATTATAATATGTATAGCCATGGCCAGTGTTTATTACCATAGATGGTGCCTTAGGCTCGTCATTTTAGTCACGTGACTTTTCAATAACATTCCGGGTCGACGTATTGTGTTGTTTAGTATAGGCCGTTCCGCAACCATATTATCTATATCCGTGATCATAACATAGACTTCTATGCTAGTATGGAACTTAGTAATAACTAACTTATATAACTTAGTATAGAAGTCTGTGGATCATAACTGTTCAGTTATCAATATTCTAATTGTTTCCTGAATGGAATCGTAGATAAGAAGGAAATAGGTATGGTCATAGATTAAATATACATGTATATTTATAATCTATGGTATGGTGTAAAATAACTGTTAAGACTAAATTCTGCGAAGGCTGTTACCAGTTATGCAACCTGTATTACAACCTTCATATCTTTTACTGATATCTTCAAAGTTCAGATGTCATTGTTGTTTTATATTTTAGTGTTATTGCTACATAATAATAAAATATAACTTACACAGTTTCAATTTCCTTTACATTTTTCCTTTAACGTTAAGAATATTAATCTTGTGCAGCTCAAGTTTGAATCAACCGTAAAGAATTTTAATTACCGTCATGTCGAAACCGAAGGTATTCATTGCAATGAAAGGCGTCCCAGAAGTCGCAATTAATTTACTTCGTAAACGGTAAGCTTTCAAAACGTACATTCTTGAATTTTACTACTTTTTATTTTTCATGGTTTTTATTAGGTTTGAAGTTGAAATATGCGAGTCTATTCAATCAACAAAAGAAGAGATGTTAAAAAAAATACCGGGATTCTTTGGGATATTCTGTTGTCCATCAATCATGATTAATGAAGAAGTTATGAAAGCTGCAGGTAAATAATGTATCAACATTAAACAAAGTGATTTTATTGGAAAAATTAATTTCCAAATTGTAATGCATGTATTTAATATCCCTTTCATTTGAATAAAAAATATGTATATTCTATCAAAAAATTGATCATTTACATTAAAATAATAAGTAGATTTAGTAATTAGTCCAATGCAGCAATTTTATTTTCTAATTATCAGTTATGTAATATCTGTTAACATGTTTAGACATTGTATTACTTTATTAAAATAAATTTCGGAAAATTTCTGCTTTACGGGGCATCCTAAATTTTGGAATTTTTTTTTTACCCGACTTTGTTTTATATACCCATGTACATAACACATAAAAACGCGACGTGATTACTCGCTCGCTGCGCTCCCTCGGACAGTTAAAAACGAAAATATCCCTCGATTTGCTAGGCAACACCACATCAAGTAGATCGCAAAAAAAAGGATTTTGAGTGCATCTCGAGACCGGGCGGTTACTCGCTCGCTCGGAGAGTTAAAAACAGGACTTGAAACCCGTTAAAACAGTTTTTATTATTAACCGGTTTTATTGAAAAATGTATACAAACGAAAACAAAAACGGAACTAAAACTAGTTATTTTATAGAACGTAATCGAAATAGTTAACCAGAAATATTTTTAGTTCTCGAAAGGAAATAAATAAATTTTATATAATACATTTAATTTGTGATTTATACTTACTAGTTACTAGTGGCGGACTGAACTTAAATTTTAAATGACGCAATTTCATATTTAAATATATACCACCACCCCCTTATTAAGGCAGTACCCAGAACAAATTTTCAGGGAATGGGAGGAAGATACTTTAAAAACCTAAAATATTAAATTAAAAAAAAACTGATGTTAAATTTTTAAGTTTGTGTTGAATGCTAGATAATTTCGGGTGGGGAGAAGGTTGAACCCCCACAGGTACGGCCTTGAATCTAATGTCAAACCTCACAAAACCATGGGGCTATCCTCCACCTCTCGGTTTCCAAATTTACTCGTATTATGATACAAATAATATTATACTTTCTACAATTATGTATTAGGTCCTGTTTAGATGTAGATACTGTTTAGGTTATAATAATACATTACAATTTACAATACGTATCGTCAATACCAAATTAGTTGAATATGCTGTAAAATTCTAGTATATATTATATACTTATAAAAAGTTAGCATGTAACTCTACGCCATCGCCACTAGCACGGGGTGCCGGGTGGTACCATCCCCAATAAAAAGTTGACGCAGCTGCGTTAAACTTGACCCCTTCAGTCCGCCACTGCTAGTTACTGCGGGCCACTGGTAGGGCACAACTGCGGTAGAGGCATGTTACCCATTGTTCCTTGGTATAATTTTGAAAGATTATCGAACATAAGCTATTCAAACAACAGTATCAACTTTAAATGACTATAACCACAAAACTAACAATCAGCTCCAATTTTTTTTTGCGCCATCATATTCATTATTGAAAAATACAAAAGACAAAAATAAAAATTTCAAAATGTAGGGTGCCTAATAAAGTAAAAGTAATTCTTAAATTTTTTGTAAGAGAATATAATCCGGTGAATAAAAAAATAATAATGTATATTTATTAACGCTGTAGGACCAAGTTTAAAAGTTATTGGAACCATGTCTGTTGGATACGATCATGTAAATTTACCTGTAATGAAAACTAATGGTATTCGCTTGGGATATACACCAGATGTTTTAACTGAAACAGTAGCAGAAACAACTGTTGGATTGTTAATATCAACAACAAGAAGATTTTTTGAAGCAAACCATGCTGTGAAAACGTAACTTGAAGAATAAAGTTAGGGTTTACAAAATTATTTTTGAATTTCTTTTTAGAGGTGGATGGAAAAATTGGACCCCTACCTGGATGTGTGGTAAAGGTATTAAAAATTCTGTTGTTGGCATTATTGGCTGTGGAAATATTGGAACTTCAATTGCAAAAAAGTTAGTTACATTTGAAATATCACAATTGCTGTACACTAGTAGAAGTGAAAAACCTGCAGGTAAAATGTTATTGTTAAATACTGTTAATGTTATACTGTAAAATTATTTTCATAGTTAAAGCACTTGGAGGGAAATTAGTTACAGTCGACGAACTTGTTGAAAAAAGTGATTTCATAATATTAGCCATTGCTTTAAATGAAGACACAAAATTTATAATAAATGGAGAACGCCTTGCTAAAATGAAATCTCATGCCATATTGGTGAACATTGGTCGTGGAGGTCAGTTAAAAATGTTTTAAATGCATTAACATTAGGTTTTACTATAAATTAATTGCAAATCATTGTTATGGCTTACCAGGGCTTATCGACCAAGATGAATTGATAAAAGCATTACAAGAAAAAAGGATTGGAGGAGCAGGTCTTGATGTAATGACACCTGAGCCATTACCACTTGATAATCCTTTGATGAAAATGGACAATGTTGGTGAGTATAATATATAACATTTAAAGTATAACATGTAAGTAAAACATATATATATAATATGTTTAATGTTTATAGTGCTATTACCTCACATTGGAAGTGCTTCCATTGAAACTCGGATAGAAATGGCTTTAATCACCGCTAATAATATCATTGCTGTATTGGACAATAAACCTATGCCAAATGAAGTACACTGTTAGTTTATAAGTTATTTAATCATTAAAAATATTTTTAAAACTGTACATGGATGGCTCATACCTATATACATACTTGATTTATTGCAAAATATTTACATATCTTAAAAAAATAGCTTGAGTTATATTTACATTTTTATTTTATTAAATTATCGAATTGTGTTTTGTATAATTTTATTTGTTATTTTATTATTAAAAAAAATAATATACTGTCCGTTAATACATGACTTGTTTATGAATATTATCATTCTAAACTAATTTTAATTGTATTCTGAGGTCCATAATTTTTTTCTGGAATAATGGCGTCTTCACTTAATTACGTTTATTTACTTATATGTCAAATTACTAATGAGGATGATTCATATTTCGTCAAGCTATAGGTCTATTATTTTAATTAAACTTACAGTTTTTGATTGATAACAGTATTATTTTCATTTTATTATCAATTTATTATTTGAAAAAAATCCAAATTACTAGAAATTAAAGTATAAATTGATGTTAATTCAATATTTTGCTGTTACAATATAAAGTTAAATAATTAAAAATATGATACGTTTATAATGTTAACATGATTATTTTAATGAGACTTGAAACCTGAGTATACAACTTATTATAAACAATTTTCATATTTTTTTTTTTATTTCTGATATTCTTTTAATATAGGTAATGTGAAAATAATTTTTATTCAATCATTATTTTATTAGAAAACATAACTAAACAGATAATTTTTTCCTATACTTCTATTTGATATAAGTTTGTACGCAAAGCTTATAATATTCAATCTTACTTTGTCTTATATTTTTAATATAATTTGAAACTGCTAATTTATTACAAAATTATTTATAGTATACAGTTTTATTGCTCTAAAAAGTGTTTACAGAAACATAATATATATAAGGAGTTTTCTACGACTGTGCTTACCGAGAAAACTACTGAACCAAATTTTTTATTGTTATACCTGACAGTTTGCTGAAGGTTTTCTTGGCTAATCACAAGAGAACACACCAGAATGTTCTTAAAGACTTGTACAACAGCAACGTAACGCTTTGAGTCTGAAACCAGTGTTTAATTACCGATCAGATATAGATTATTCCAGATATAGATATTCCAGCGCTTCCAATAGGACCAATGACTTCATAATTCTCAAAGTTAGTGGCGAAGCTTGGTTTCTGGATAAGGGGAGACAAAACTTAAAATAATTAATTAATGTATAAATAAACAATATTTTGATTAATTTGTTTATTATAATAATTTCAAACTTATTTAGCTGTATCACTTTATAAGTTAAGTAGATTTTTCTATTTTTTCGTTTATTTACAACATATTGACACAGTTTCCTCGTTTTCCATCAGGAGCATACCCAGAAATTTTTTATGGGGGAGGGGTCCAAAATTTTTATTTTATCTGATAATGGGAAATTAAAATACACTATATACTATTTACTATTAAATCGTTGAGTACATAGAAATTCATAAAAAAGTACATAAAAATGGGGGGGGGTCCGAACCCGAAAACTCTTCCCTTAGGTACGCCCTTGATTCTCATTACACTCAATTGATTGGAAAATATTTTTATTTCACTTATACAAAATTGTACATCTGCAATATTTTGTCTGAAGTATTATAAGTACATGGTCTGAGTACAAAAACAATCTCTTGAACAAACATATTAAATAGACAAATTAGACAAATTTATAATTGATAACTTTTGTAATAATCCAAATGCTGTACTTGTAGTTTTTGGTTACCAATCGTCTTTAACGCGATTGAAAAAAAAAATTACACATGGGTGAAACGTGTACAGTAGTAAGGAAATCATAAATTATTCACGTGATGGCACGAAGGTGATAAAGAAAATCGAAAAAACTAACATACGTATCGAGCAATAAGCATTTATACAGTAGTTATGTTTGAGTGTATATATATATATATATATATATATATGGGTATAATGTACAACGTGTCCTAATAATATTATCAACATGGGCAATTGTTTATAAATTAAATATGTATATTTAATTTATGGTATCAGGGAGTAAACATAATTAAGAGAGTGTTATGGGATATAGCTTTTCTTAATTTTTATTTGTTTAAATATGATTTAAAGTCAATAACATTTAGTGTATTATATTATTAATTGTTATTATAAATTTTATTTTTATTAATCCATACGAGCATTTATACGAGCATACATAATAAAATATTTTAGAATTGTAACTGAAATGCATTCTAAGTTTTGTTCAAATAAATAAATAAAAATATCTTGTAAAAATAGAATTAATATTTTTTTATTGTATAGGAACGCTTTTTGACCGTATCGCAGTGGTGTATTCATAATTTTTTTCTAGGGTATACGCTCAGCACATAAGCGTTTATTGGTGGTAGGGGAGGGGGTTAAACCCCTTAAAAAAATGTTCTACCTACCTAAGCTCAAAATTACATAATATGATGGAGACGTAGGATATACCTCTGCCAGACTTTTTTCCTAAGATGGGGGGTATACATTTCAACAAAAGTATTTTTGGGGATTTGAAGTGGGCGCGCGCCCCCTTAGTCCCCTTGGATTCACACCTGCTATGAAATTCTAAATTTTAAACTTATCTTTAATTAACTCATAGATATTTATCATATATGAAACATAATATTTATGTTAATATTTATTTTCATGAAACCTAATGTTTTATTATGTGTAATAATATTTTAGTATTAATTAAAAAATAATTTACAAAAACATGTGACGAATAAATACTGACTAAGTGACAAACTGACAACAATATAATAATTAATAATCACAATCTATCCAAAACATCGTAGACAGATCTGTTAATATTATGATAAATTTATAAACAGAACTTTTTGACTGTTGATGTATTTTAAAATTTTTAATATCCGATCGACAATACAATATCGAACGCGTCCACCGGTATTGTTTAAATTCTGATATTACAGTATGTAAACGCTCGGCAGTTTCCGACCGTCTCCGCAAATACCTGAAGTCGGGGGAAATTTAATCGAAGTTATGCGGGCACGAAGCTATTTTTGGATAGTGGCTATAGTATATAATAACAATAAATTCTATACTATTGTTGTATAATGCAGGCGCGTAGACAGGGGGGGGGCTTAGGGGTTCAAACCCCTCCCGAAATTCAGGAAAATGATGTTAAATTTGTTTTTATATACATAGTAAAATTGATATATAGATTATATTATTATAAAAATGTACAACGTAAAACCCCTCCCAAAACATTTCTTTGTGTATGCACCTGGTATAATGTATGCCTTATGGTGATGAAAAATTAGAAGCTTACGTATATATATTATGTACGAATGATTAGTTAGCGTATATCCATGATAGACGAATTTTCTTAAAGGTATACGCATAAATTCAAAAATAGGGATCCGGGTATATGGCGTATACCCGCGTAAACCCTCCAATACACCACTGCCGGTATCGTGAGTGGAATATGTTCAAATGCACAGTCGGCAGAGTTGGTTCGAACCCGGTTACTGACCAGGGGCGTACGTCACTGTTACTGATAAATTGGCTTTCTGGGTGGGACGATTGCTCCGAATGAAGAAACCGTCAATATGATTTTCTAATACATTATTATATTTTTTTGAAAAGTTACTGTTGAAGTACCAACCATTGTTGGTGACACTATTAACATTAAAAATAAGTGAATTTTCAAAAGGAAAATAAAACTAAATTAATAATTAGCGTACAAAACAATTATATTTTACCATCGATAATAATTCACGGTCGGATTTAAATGTAAATTCGTATTTTTTTTTAGATCTTTACCTATTTTAATAAGTGTTATTGTTATTAAATTGGTTTTAATTTTAATTTAAAAAAGAGGGAAACTTCTGGGTCGAGTGAAATATCGAGATAAATGTATGCTATCTATTATTGTAATGATATTTTAAACATGAAACCAATATGCTATTGCTATTGAAAAAACAATTCTGAGTGAAAACAGTGGATTGGTTTATATTTTTAAATATGGTTGATATAGTAGTAGAAACAAAGTTTTTTATGAGGTAGGTTGAACTGATAATATTTTAAATTTTGCAAAACAAAAATAGTGCATGACAAAATAATTGGCGAAGAGAGATTAAGTATCGAACTCAATTTTTTTTGCAATTTTTCTTTGTTTTTCTCAATTTTTTGATGTATTCATTGGTAAATGTAAAAAATGTAAAAAATTACCCACTTATAAGCGTTAGCAAATTTTTGATTTTTTTCTTGCATTAATTGAATACAAATATTAACGATGAAGTATTCTTTACCTATGTAGAATCTTACCATCCACACATAGGCATGTTTAGATAAAAATGTTCTATTATGACTTTTAATGACTGAAAATCGAAATTATTATAATATTATTAATTGATGAGAGCCTATAACGTATACGCGTGAACTTATCAGTCTTCTGTATCTAAATAGTGTTTTTTTAACTGTACAGCAATTATTATAATCGCACGTATAACACCGCCTCATTATATTATTGTGATATATTGATTCATTATTATATTACACAGATTAAAGTTACTACAAAAAGTAGTACTACCATGGGCGTAGCAAGGGTGGGGCAGGGGGTGACTTGCCCCTCCAGCGCCTCAAACTGAATTCTATTTGTTTATACCAAACGTGTAAGTCTTACATAAAAATCAAAAATTAAATAAAACATGTCTAAAAATAGTTAAGTGGGACCGAGTGTTATCTACAAGTGTAATCGTTTTGTCGTTTTATGTGTTATCCAATAGTCTATCTGTAGATCTGTGGTTCTCAACGGGAACGATATCGCCCTTCAGTGGGCGGTGAAGTATCACTTGTGGGCATTGAACTACTTTTGGGCGGTAGGGGGTAGTGAACTAGTTTTGGGTGGTTAGCACGCAAAAACTTTGTACATGGTGTGACCTAAAAATAATTCATACTAGATAATCCATATAATAACTATTAGTTACTAATAGGTATTATATGTTGAGCAATGCACAATAACGTATCTTTCATGGTTGATAAATTTATTATTTTTATTATTTTAGAGATTGTGCATGGACATTGTATTTTATTATAGGTAGGTACCTATATTAACCAACCTTTTAGTAAACCGTTTGATTTGACCCGTGCATGTTGTATTAGTTTTCGTTTTATACTCGTAATATTCAGTCTATTAAAAACGTGTTTTTAAAAAAAAAAATTACTACAAAAATACATGGGTAAATATCTACAAAAACAAAAGCAATATTTTTTACTTATTTGATTTTAAAATCTTTTTTAAAAGTAATATTTTTTCTAAATAAAATAAAAAATGTATTTATTACTATAAAATAAAATTGATAAATTATTACATTTTTTTCAAGTGTTTAATTTAATTAATTTACTAATACTATAATTAAAAAAATATGAAAAATAAAACATAAATGAAAACATTAGTTATGAGATAATTATTCAAATTTTTTTTCATATTTTCCAAATCATTAAGTTATTTCCTATCCCTCAGCCCTTACCATTAATTATAGAATTTTCACATAGGGGGGCGTTGAAGAATTGATTCCTACTCAAGGGGGTGTTAACATAAAAAAGGTTAAGAAACACTGCTGTAAGTTATTTGAATTACGAGTTTAACACTAATCGCTTTATGTTATTGCCTCCCCCCCTGATTAAAATCTTAGCTACGCCCATGAGTACTACTAAAAGACGTGTGGACGACCCGACGCGTACACTTGAACACGCATACATTTGTATAAATTATTTTACAGCGTCGAGGTCTTGACAGTCGTGGCGGGCACCTAAGACCGATAAGTCGCATGTTGTTAAATTCGTTTTATGTGTCGTACGACTTTAATTATATTTCTTACCGAGCAACCTAAACGATTACTTTAACACCGCGAATCACGGAATATCGACACGAGTCGTCCGCACACAACATAGGTAGGTATAATGTACAATTTATTTTATCTATATATTGCGATAATATTTTAATCGACTCCGACTGACCGATGGACACAGTAATTGATTATATCAGTTTTCGTTTCAACGTAAATACTTCAATTTTAAACGTATCGATCGGCGCACCATAAGTAACCATCAGGATTTGTTTACCTAATTGATAATTTTTTTTGGTTTTATGTTATATGTAATGTAACAATATGATCAGTTTTTAAGTATATTCAATTTGGTACAGTGTTATTACTTCGACGACGAGTTAGCACGGTTTCTTGTTAAGTATATCTGCTCAGTCTTATGGATTAAAAACTTCTCAAACCGTAGAAGTTTCCAAACAGTACAAAAGTATCTTGTATTTTAGTGTTATAAATGAAACTAAATAAATTATAAACGCAATGCCGAGAACTGATACTACGTCGGAGAAACTTTGTTTAATACACCAATAGTATATCTGTGCGAAATAAAAATACTTGACGAAAAAACTCTTTAAAGCTTTTCTTTTTTTTTCAATAACAATTTGAGAACTATTAGATTCCATTAAAAAAAAAATTGTATTTATTCAATTGTCAATATTGTGAACATTTAATCTTATCTATCATAAATATTCTTATCAGTCTAAACTTGTTTAGTTCTGGTTTCTGATAATCGGTTATAACGATTTTTTATAGACAAAGAATATTATGACACAAGCGCAACTAGAACCCAAATATTGGGCGTACTGAAATTGCTGAAAATAAAACTAAATGGCATTTAATTGTGATTACTATAGATGGATCTGAAAAAAATTACAGGAGTGCTACATTTGAACTCAGGGGTGCTAAACACCCTGTTGCGCCCCCCTATTTGCGTCTATGATTATATTCTATGCTACAGACATAAAAACATTTATTATAACATTATAATAGTATTATCATAAATAATCATTAGTACTAGTGATGGGAATAATCGAATGGTTAGTAATCGAAAAAAATGATAATCTATGATTAATAGTCGAAAACAAAATAATCGATTGATTACAATAATCGAATGAATTTTTCACTCTAACGATAAAATAATCGAATGGTTTTTTACTCGAATGATAAAATAATAGAATGGTTTTTTCACTCGAATCATAATATAATCCAATGTTTATTTTTAACTCACTACTTGTATACTATTGATTACTTTATAGTCATTGGTATTACGAGTGGTCATTGGTACAGTGTGTAATATATACGAATAATATAATACAATTAGGTAACTCAGTTGAAGTAATATCAACTAATTTTTTATAATCTTTCAAATAGATCATCAGTGAATTAACTATTTCATGTAGAAAATAAAAAATATAAAATAGAATAATTTGTTTTCATAAATATTTAACTATAAAATTTTAAATAAATACTATAAATATAAAATATTTCAAACTAACACAATATTAAAAACTGAATAATGTATAAAATATTAATAATAATTTTGGCATAATTCTAGTTTAGCAACCTATCGATTTTTTAATTTTTTTTTCCAAATGTGTGTTTTAGGGTGTTTTATAAGTATGCTAAAAATAATTAGTCCGGACAAACTTTGTTTTGAAGTTATTGATGAAAAATTTCAAAAACTTCATCTCTTTCATAACGCACATTTTTAAAAAAAAAAAAAAAAATACTTAGAATTTAATATTTAATTTTAATTTTCACATATTTACATTTTTATTGTCCCTGTTACCTACTTGAGGTAGTTTTGCATAGCAAGTCGAGGAATATTTATGATTTGCGGAGCGAAGCGACGGCGACGAGTGCCGAAACACTCATATAATAGTTTCATTGGCCATTGTCGATACCATACTCATCGTTTGCAAAAAAATGTTATTTAATTTTCACACTATAAAACAATTTTTAGTTCGTATGTAGGTGGACCGGGGTCAATTGTTGAAATTGATGAATCAAAATTCGGAAGGGGAAAATATCACAAAGGACATCACTTCAAGTTTTTGAAGTTTTTCATCAATAACTTCAAAACGAAGTTTTTCCGTGGTTCTTTTTTTTTTACATACTTATAAAACACCCTAAAACATACATTTTGGAAAAAAAAATTAAAAAAATCGATAGATTGCTAAACTAGAATCGTTCCATAATTTTAAAACTGTGTCTTGCATTGCGAAAATTGTTAGTTTATTAAATTACATTTAAATTACTGTTTAAAAATACAATATAATCAACATTTTTAGGATGAAGTCAGATGATCGTTCTTTGTCCTTAGTGCCGAAATTACACTAATTTGGGCTCGTGTACAGTAGCGTAGCAAGGGTATGGCGAACTCTGCTTACGCCAGGGTCACAAATTGCAAAGGGGCGCAAAATTGTGCAAAAGTTGTATTTTTATCCTACAGTCAAATCGAAATTTTTCTATTATAATTTTTGAAATACGTAGATGTAGTCTATTTGTACAGACTAAATTTGAATTTAATGATGAAATTATGAAAATAGCACAAGGACATTTAAATAAAAAATTTCATATGAATTTGCTACGCATAAAACGAGAAAAGTAAATTTTCAAAGTTTAAACACTGTATTAATGACTTATAAATAAAAATTGTATCCTTACAAAAAAATATCGTAACATCAAATTTTAATTTATTAAAAAGCGTTTTTTTTCTAAGTTTGCCAGGGGCGTTAGAGAGTCTTCCTACACTACTGCCCGTGTGTAAGTAAAATTAATTCCCTCCCCCGCACCCGGACTCTGCAGGGAAACCGTACCGTATTTGTAACTAAACTATTTTGAATTTCGATTATTCAGGCTGTAAAAGAAACGTTGAAGTACGATAATATGTACAAAACAAAATCAATCAATTATTTTTCAAACTCCATAAGTAACTATTATTACAAAATGGTTTTATTTTCTTGCTTTTTACATATTTTTGAAATATTACCATTGGGTAATGAGCCCGTGCGTTTGACACACGCAACACACCCGGATATTGCGGCACTGTTTATCTCGTTTTTAAAAACACGCCTTTTGATGGAACACATAAATATTTTAATTGTAGCGTATACAGTTTAGGAAATGTATTTTTCTGTTATTATATATATTTGTGGGTTTTTACTAGTCATTTTTATCATATGAATGTTTTATTTGATTAATTCCATTATTTTATTATTCGAATGATTTTTTAAATAATCGAATTGATTCGATTATTCCCATCACTAGTTAGTACATCTATTATCCACGACAATTTATATTAAATTTGTTGGTTTCTTTAATTATGAAGGACTTAGCATTGGTGGAAGGGAAAGGCAGAAGGAACAACTGCCTAAGGCCCCGTCATTTTAGGGGCTCCGCGCTAAAGTCTGCGCCTTACATGGGATTATATAATTTGCAAGCCTGTAATTTTGTTTTTAAAATTAAATAACAAAGTCCCCCCGTTATATGAAATAAAATTTGTTTTACATATTTACCTAATTAATATACATTTTATAGTAGGTAATTAAATAATAATTCAATTAGTGCGGTGTATTATTTTAATTATTTAGAGTGACAATTTTCCACGCAGGAAACATAAATACACTTCTGATTGTTGACGCTTTAATGATATTATGTCCATATTGAGGAAAAATGTTTTTAGATAAGTTATGTTAAATAGAAAAATATGTTATTTTAGTACTAAAGCGTTCTAGAAAAGTTTGTTTGCCTTAAAGAAGAGTATTATAGGGTTCCGCAAAACCTCTAGCCAGCGCCAATTATATAAATATTACTTATATCAATTAAATCTCTATTTGGTTAAAAAAAACCCTAAATATAAATCTAGTACCTAGTAGTTATTAGAAATATGTTTACATATAATAACATTTTTATTACATTTTACAAAAACTATCTATGATTTAATAAATATATATACTTTTGATTATACAAGTATATTCTAGTTAACCAACCTAATATATATATATATATATATATATATATATATATATATATCATTGAACATTCTGAGATTTGCTAATTTTTGTAGTAGAAGGTTTTTATTAAGTAAAAATAATTTTGCCTAATCTACATATCTACTCAGTACTCACATGATAAAGTTGTTTTTATCTTTTCAGAGCCATTAAAAGAAAACTCCGAAGAAAACTGAAACATTTAACTATATGAACGTATTGATACTAATTTTTATTTACATATTTATATTGTTATTATGTATTAAATTACAGTTAAAATAATAAATAAAATTATTTCCTTATATAATTGAGTGCATATAACATTTTTGCATATATTTGTGCATTTTTAATATTTGAATGCATTTTTGCATCCATATTTTCATGATTATCAATGCAATAAGTCTTGAGCCCTAGTAAAAACTTTTTACTAATACCATATATATTGTTATAGACTTGTTACTTGTTTTATATATTCATAAATTATATAGTGTATGGAATTTATGAATGTATTTTACTAGCTAGATTTATTTAGAATAAATAAAGTAATGCTTCATTATAAATATTTAATTTTACAGTGGAAAGTTTTCTTTCGTGTAAAACCAGTCTGCAATATGTCATCAAGACTTAAAGTGCTGTTAGTACGGAATAATTTCCCAAAAAAAGCCATTGATTTGTTGAGTACAAGGTATTTAAATTGTATTTATTCAATTTTCATTAAATTGTAACCATGAAATGGGCCTTGTGCCATACAGCCTATACATATAACCTAAATTTACAGGTGAATTATACCTATATAATATAGGTATAATGCACCTGTAAATGACTGTTTGGTTAGATATAATGTTAGATAGTTGGATCCTACTCGATCCTGGAGTATGAATTATTAGAATTATTTTATGTAACATAAATTACCATAAAAAAAATTCTATAATCTTAATAGTTTAAATAAAAATGAAGTAATATGTTGTAGTTCAAAACTATTTAAACAGAAATAATAAGTTTTTACTCATTTTCCTTGAGTTAAAATGTGTAAATACGTATATTTGGCACTAATGTTTGTGGTTTTAAAAGCAATTTTTAGGAGAAGGAGAAGCTTATAAACTATATAGCTTATTTAAAATAATTATAGAAATCTGATCTGATTTAGATAAGTATTATTAATATATTTTAATGTTCAGTAAACAATTTCAGATTCGACTTGGAAGTATGTAAAATGAGTAATATAAATGGTAAGTCAGTGACCACGCAAGACATTATCGATTGCATTCCTGGGAAATTTGCATTATTCTGTTTTAGTGAAATTGATGTAAATGAAGCAGTTCTGAAAGCAGCAGGTTAATATCAAAATGTTTCACTATTACTATTAATATTAGCTAATTGGCAAATTGACGTTGGATGGTCATGAAATTACTTTTTTTTTTTCATCGAGTACAATTCATGAACTGAATAAAGTTAACTTTTAATCTTTGTTTATTTTATGGACGGTAAAAATGTTTGAATACGTCCTATTTATAATTATTAAATTATTATTATAGTTCTACTTATTATGATGTATTCTAGAGATTCGTGACAGTTAATCTTTTTATTAAAAATGTATTTTCATTGTTTCTTTAGGACCCAATTTCAAAGTGGTTGGTACAATGTCGGTAGGATACAACCATGTGGATTTAACGGCTATGAAAAAATATGGAGTCCGTCTCGGATACACACCTGGGGTTTTGACAGAAACAGTGGCTGAACTCGCTGTGGGTCTCGTCATAGCCACTTCCCGGAGGTTTTTTGAAGCGAACCGTGAACTGAAAACGTTAGTGTCGTGTTAACTAAGGCATGCAATCGCGTATAAATTTAAGTTAAACCAACAATAATTTCACTACATTGATGATGCTGATTTGTTCTGAAATTCAGGCTTGGATAATAATCTTTTTATTACATTATTTCCTCTACCGAAATACTACCCAGAATGACAGGGAATGTAATCGCGAACATTTACTAATCAATAGGTCGCCAGTTTTTACTATAAAAACGTTGCGTGAGCTAAAAAAAATTATTTTAACTTTACTAATTAACTTTTTTTTAAAATTTAAGTCTTCAATTTATAAAATGTATAAAAGGTACAGGTGACAAATTATAAATATCCAAAAAAAAATTCATCAAGATTATTGTGTAGGCCTGTGTACAACATATGGTGAACCATATAAAAAACATATTAAATGTCATGTAAATGCATGTTACCAACCTGGAGGCTGGAATTCATTTTTAGCATCCTCCTAAAATATTTCAAAGGTCAAACAATTTACTATTTCCTTTAAAAGTTCTTTACGTCAAGATAACAATAAAAGAACGAAGAAAGAACTTGCTAGATTTAACAAAAATTTGAAACAGCATCACTCTGTTTTTTATTCATTGATCCCTGGATTTTCTTACATAAATTATTTTGGTAGTACAATAATGTTGGGAAAAAATATATAAATATTTCTTTTAATGATAGACAAATCGAATGATATTACTTTAATTTTACCAGTATCGAATAATATTGTTGGATTTTTTTCTTTTTATAGAGGTGGATGGAAGGAATGGAATCCCACGTGGATGTGTGGTAGAGGGATTTCAAATTCTGTTGTAGGTATCATCGGTTGCGGTAACATCGGAACATCGATTGCTGAAAAATTGAGTAAATTCAAAATTTCTCAACTATTGTATACGAGTAGATGTGAAAAGCCTGATGGTGGGTATAAACTCAATGGTATAAATCCGCCTTGCCACATTGTATAGCACTTGAACGTTTAATAATATTTGTTAGAGTTCGGGACTTTGGGTCAAATTATCATAACTATACTATGAATTATTATAATACACTATGATTGCGTACATTTATTTAATTTTAGAAGTATATTAATGTTAAATGTTTAGTGCGATTCAACTTATTCAGTTTTAAATACAGCTTTGACTCATGTCTGATTTAATTTTTGCTCTAATTATTATTATATATATCTAATCTCGTTTGACAACTACACATGTATGTCGCGTTTTGCAGTCAAAGCCCTTGGCGGACGGTTGGTCTCAGTGGATGTGTTGGTTAAGAGTAGCGATTTTATTGTGGTCGCTATGGCTCTGAACGAGGATACGAAATTTATCGTGAACAGAGATCGTATCGCCTCCATGAAACCCAATGCCATACTGGTGAACGTCGGCCGTGGAGGTTTGTATGGTTTTTAATTATATTCTTAGAGATATTAATTATTTGTGTAATTTAATTAATTAAATGTGCTTATGAACTATTTGCTTTTATATGGACTAAAAATACAGTCAATTAAACGTTCTACTGTGCGATTGATTACATTAATATTTATTAAAAAAAAAAAAATACGTACCTATGATTAAACAACGGAAACTTACACTTTTTTTTTATAAAAATATCATATTTAAAATATTCTAAAATACAAAAAATGTTTGTCATATAAATATATTTCACTCTAAAATTGTCATAGTATGTGTATATGTTACTGGAAATTTTGACAATTTAGGAAATTACGACAATTCCTAATAGCGGAAGGAAACCATATCATTGCCTAGGAGTTTTCATCCGAAGTTTATTAGGCAATGTTACCATGCATCGCTCTCTTACACGAAAGCATTGGTGATTATGATGTTGCAGATCATATAGGACCAGCTAAACTTTGTAACTATTAGAACAAACTAACTCGCAACGGCAACATGCTAAAAAACCATAATTGTCAACCACCAACTGCAGTGCATTTTATAAGGAATTTTCTCTGGGTGACAAAAAATGTTTTTCTCAACATAGTCAATGTAATACCATAGTACGATTATAGTATTACACGTTTGTTTCGCATTATTTCGCCCAATTTTTCAAAATATTATCGACAAAATATAATCACTGGGCGACATTTGTGTCACCTAGTTAACTAGTTAAAAAATGCACTGACCAACTGTCAATATTGTCCGTGTTCTAAAAATATCAGGTGGGGAAATTACTGATATCTATAATAGGAGAGAGTTTGTTAATAGAATAATTAATAAATTACATACTATGTGGGGTGACGTTAAATTAGTTTACGGAAAACCAAGACATGGTCACTCAGGTATAGAACGTGCGAACCGAGACGTGGAAGATATGTTGGTTGATAACATGAATGGCGAAAACCAAATAAACATATTGACTATCTGGATTAATAATATTCTTATTTAGTTGATTAACAAAAACAAAATATAGGTACTTAATGCGTGTCAATCATATGGTATGCTCACAATGTAGAAAAACAGGCTCAAAAAATGATTAAAACATCAAATAGAAAATATAATGAATATAGTGTTGGAACCACAGTACGTCTGAGCATTCCTGATGCAGATCGCGATTGTGAATCACCGAGAAATTACACTAATATTAGCACCTTAATCATCTTCGTATTTAAACGCTTAGGTAATAAAAATACATTTTTTTTAAATCGTAGACACCGAAAGTGGATTTTTAAAACATATGTACACGAGATTGGAAATAAATCCTTGCAAAGCAAATTTATTGGATTCAACTATTGTTTTAGAATCGACAGGTTATGTGGAAAAACTAATATCACTTCGACGGGAGACAGCTACTCTTTACAACACTTGATTGTTTATTGATTATTTAATAGGGTTATTTATTTATTTAAGGTGGATAATTAATAATTGTGTTTGATAAAAGTATTATTTAAATTAGATATATTAAATTTAATTATATAAAAAAAATATGGCATCTTTGCCTGATATCCGTAGGAAATGACAACATATACTACTAGTCTATGATATAATTTCTTTCCGCTATTAGGAATTGTCATAATTTCTTAGGAACGGTCATCATTTATTAAATGTTAATATTTCCTGTAGCATATACAATACACGAGTAATAATAAAACGAGTATGAACGATGAACAGCTATATCAATGGTAAATTCGAAAATATTGACGGTTAATGGTATGGTAATTAATAATAGGTTCCATTATTTGCTATGGGTAAAATCGCAATTTCCGAATAAACCCTTTTTAAATACGGACCCGCAATTATTGATATTCTGATATAATATTTTTCAATGAATCTGTATGTAACGGTTTTTATTTAAAACTTATTTCGTAGAACTGATTGATCAAGACGCTTTGGTCGAAGCGCTACAAGAAAAGAGGATCAGAGGCGCTGGATTGGACGTAATGACGCCCGAACCGTTACCGCTTGACCATCCTCTGATGACTATGGACAATGTTTGTATGTATAATGTTGTTTCCATTATAACTATACGACATTCGTATATCTAATGTTCGATAGGTAATTTCCATTAATTTTGTCGTTTGCAGTACTGTTGCCGCATATAGGATCCTCGACATTGGAAACAGAGGATGAAATGGCCATGTTGACCGCGCAAAATATATTGGCCGTTTTGGATGGCAAACCTATGCCTTGTGAAGTGATTTTATAGACTCTAGTGTAGGGTTGCCATACGTCCTGGAAAACTGGGATTGTCACCAGTTTTGGATTTCGCGTCCCGGCGTCCCGAAAAATGTTTTCGGAACGTCCATATGTCCCGGCTTAGACGTTTAGAGGAAATGTAGTATTGTTTAATTTTTAATTTCGATCATTTTATCTCAAAGTACATTTTTAATCGTAATCGATCAACAATATATAATAAAAACATAATTTGTAATATACACATATAATATATACCTAATATATTTTATTTTATAAAAAATTTTTTAAATATTATATTACCGGCCATTAATGGTTCTCTTCAGTGGCGTATTATATATACTTTTGTATGGGGTAGATCAGGGGGATCATTTGTAAACAAATCATTATTTTTTTTTTATTTACGTTTCTAAAGCTCTCACACTAAGAACATTATTTTGTAACATTTAAAAAAAGGCCTAGGGGGAATCTGACCTCCACCCCCCCCCCTTGTATACGCCACTGGTCCTCTCAATATATTAAAAGTTATATAAAAAGTATATTACTCAATCTCAATACTGTGTTTGTGTTGTCCCGGTTTCACCTTATAAATTTATGGCATCCCTACTCTAGTGGTATCCGGTTGTTAGCTAATGTCACGAATGCTTATATTTAATATATGTAATATGAAAAAGGTATACGAGTTGTAATTAAAGATCTAACAGTTTTAATAATTTTACTCTTTTAATTTAATAATCACGATTTTTTTTTCATATATACATAAATACATGTGTAAAGTTCGTGTACTAAAATTATAGTTTTTTTAAATTTTATTTTATTTTTCTTACGAAAATAACTGTAACATTTTATTTAAATTGAATACACCATACGAATACTAAGTGTTATTTAATTTTTTTTTTAATTAAGATAATACATAATGTATTTAATCGTTTTGATATTAAAAATTGATTTAACTCATTATGCAGTAAGATATCACGTTTTCACAGGCAGCGTAATATTATTTGCACTTATTAACATCGATTGTCCCCTGAAAATATTCTTATTATTTAAATTAGGTTACAAACGGTAGGTAGATAATATAGGTTTACGCGTTACAAATACATTTTTGCTCATACTTGGAATTGGAATTGATTAATCTTTTGGTTTAACCTGATGTGCAAGTAAAACATGGGTTTGTTCTGAAGGAATCGAATACTGAAGTTCAGCATACAGTCGACAGATTTGTTAGTGTCATTTTGGTGAAACGTAATTTACATATTAGCTGTGATTCGAATATGTTTGAGTCATGCAACACATAACTAAAATACAGTTTAACCTCTATATTTAATTTGTCCCTATTAAAAACGTGAAATAGCAACAATGAAACGCGACGTAACTATAAATAATAACATACAGCGCTCAAATTGGGGGTCGCGCAGGGGAACGGAGTTCCTTTTTTTTTTTTTATGCGCATCTCAACTATATTTTTCCACTGGAACGGGGAGACACCCTTTCCTAACACCCTAACCTAACTATTGTCAAAATAATTTTTATTAAAGTATGGATTTCAATTTACGTCAATTTTATAAATATTATGATTTATAATATCAAAACTATTTTTGATATTTGTTTAGTAACACGTTGAGATCCACTAGTAGTACACTTATCAGTAACCAGTCTATGTTAGCCGAAATTACGGCGTCGTCGTTTCAGGAAAAATATAAATAGTAATGTCTGGTATATACAAATATAATTTACTATATACTTTATTCATTGTATGGTTTGTTATTAATATTATAGAAATTACTTGGAATTTAAATATTTGTGTTAATTTTTAACCGTACCATTTTTACAAAAGAATCATTAGCACAATTTTTCTGATGCTTTGCAATCAACTAGGAATTAGGTATTAATTGTCTTAACAGATAAACAATTATATCATTTGATAAAAAAGCAACAATATTTACACGGTTTAAATGAGCAACTCCTTCAAGATAATATACATAGTTGTGCCGCCGCTTTACCTACCTTGCGCCACGACTGTGGCGCTGGATAATCTAAAATCAAAAACTCATAATTACGAATATTGATTTTTGAATCATATCTATTTTTTAAAGCCATATGTATTCAACATTTATATAAAAAAAATAATAAATTCAAAATTACCAAATATTCATTTAAGTATAAAAGTAGCTTAGTGGATTAAATTTGGAAGAACAATAATACAGAATGAATTAGTTGTAATATCAAGGGAGTTATAAGAGTATTCACAATGTTATTTAATTTTTTTATTTGTATTAGTTTAAAAACCAATTTATGCTGTCATTTTTACAGTTTAAAATACAATTTAATGGGAACAATTTTATGGACTATAATTAACTTAAAAATAATTAATAAAATAATTAACAATCTTTGATGCAAATTAAATTAAATTAATTTATAAATTATAAATTGAACTTCTAAAATGTAAATTATAATACCACATACAACATATATCACAAGAAATTAAAAAAATTCTTTTACAACTAAAAGTAAGTAGGTAATACATATTTTTACAAATTTGATCATGAAATTCAACCATCGTTTAAAACAAAATAAAAAAATGAATTATTATACTTAAGTATATTTAAATAAATATATTTACATATAGATATACATCATATAGAATTCAACTCTTTGATAAGATTAACAATTTCGGTTGCTGTCGTATAATGTTTACAGTAGGTATGTTCTAAACATTGATTAATGTAAACAGAAGCTCTAAAGTTTTTATCCAGAACAATACATTTGTTTGCTATAGGAATACCATATATATCTATTATCATATGAGAGATAACATACCGCAGTGGATTAGTAACAATACTTAAGCTCCACGAAGGCATTGTTTTTGAAAGTTCAGACATCAATTCTTTCAAGTTATTCTTTTCATAAGCTGCACCTTCTCTAATAGGTTCTACTTTATAATCAACATCTAAATTTTCACAAAAGTAATTTGCATTGAATCTTGATTTAGTTTCAACATCTTTTACAATAGGCGTTATTGTTACCATAGAGGGAGGGACTGATTCAGAGTAATTTTTATGGAATACAGAAAGAGGTTCATCTAGAACTGTCTTTTTAAGAGTATCAATTGATATATTAAAACGTTTTGAAAGGAGAAAAATTTCACGTTCTACACGCGATTCTAATTTAGCTTCAACAGATTGTTCATATAATTCTGAAGAATGTTTGATCACCTTTTTTGACATACATTTTTGAAATATTTGAGGTGATATCTTAGCACTAGGTACTAATGATCTTGAAATATCATTGGTTTTCTTTAGAGGAGATTCCATTTCGTTTAAATCTGGTTCAGGTGATTTTCTTTTAATGCCACTGTTGGTTGATTCTCTACATTGACGACTAATGGCTTCAGACAGTATGGCCATTCCATAATTTATTTCAGAGCTAATCATAGGATTTGATATATAATTTGAATCATCAACATTTAAATGGGAATGTTGATCATTATCATTGGACAATACACTATTGGATACTGTAGGTATAGTAATTTCAGAAGAACTCTCAGTTTCTGCAGTATATGGCATATTATTTTTGGATTTAACACCTACAGTTTCTGAGATATTATCATTCCTCAAACCTATGGGTTTTGTGGAAGTAATATTATTTGTAATTGATATGTTTTCATGGTGTTCTGTCTCAGGAATATTTGTTATTGAATTATTTAGATCAATATCTGTATTTAAACTACCAATCAAATCTGGATTCTTAATGTTTATATTTAATTTTTTTTTTCGCTTTACTTTAACATTTTTACGAATTATATTTTTCTGAGTTTTCAAAACATTATCAGACAATGTAGCACTATTATTAAAATTTTGTTTTGAATCATCCATTGAAACATTATTATTGGATTTTAACATGTTATGTGATAATAATTTGTTTCCACTCCATTCATCACACCACTTATTTTTAATTTTTGGTGGTTTATTATCATTTCCAGACATTACAGTATCATCAGATTTTTCAGAAAAATCAGGCTTTGGACATTGTGGAATATTTTCATGAACTACAGACAGTTTTCTGGATTGATTCAACTGATTATTATTTTTCAGCATCATGGTATCATCTCCAGATTTTTCGGACGAAACTATGTTTGGAAAATATTTTATATTTTCCAAAACTACAGACAGTTTTTTAGATCGATTTAAATAACAATCACCTTTTAAAAGATCGATATCAGATTCTGAAATTTTTCTTTTAAAAGGACGTCCAAAATGACGAGAAATTATTAAATCATTATTTCCTTCAAGCTTGTAAGGTGGATTATTTTTATTTATTATAGGTTTTTTCTTCATGTCAACTATGGGCTTTGTAGAACTTTTAATTTTAGAAGTTTTTTGTGGTACAATTTTATTGCTAAATTCAAGTACATTAGATTCATTATTTTTATTATGATTAAAATTTTTTACTTTAGATATATTTTTAGTAGATTTAGGCGCTTCACTTTGATAGGCTTGTGATACTACAAAATTTATAGTATTTTCAATTTTATCAGATACAGAATTTTTATTTATATTATCTATAGCCAATTTTTTTTCATTACAAATAACAGGTCTAGAGGTTTTAGTTTTAGAAACTTTTGATGATATAGATTTATCACTGCTTACATGTTCATTAGAAGTTTTATTTTTATTTGTATTGTTTAACATGGAGCTTTTTTTTTTGAAAGAGACAGATTTTGCAGCTTGTTTTTTAGACATCTTATCTGATACAATGTTATTGCTTTTTTCAAGTTTATCAGTTGAATTATCTTTATTTAAATTAGTCATAGCAAAATCTTCTAAAATAGTATCAGTTTTACTAGTTTTTAATGAATTTGGTTTAGAAATATTTACTTTATTTTTTACAAAAAGGTTTTGAGAACAATTGGATAACTCACTGGGTTCACTATATGTTGAATTGGTTTCTGCAGACTTTGTAGAAGCAGAAATTTCATTTTTTTTTCTTTTAGTTTCTTTTTTTTGAGGAGTTATAGATTTTTCCGGTTCGATTTTGCTAAATTTCTGTTTTTTGCAAGTAATTTTTTGTTTTTTATTAGTTCCTAATTGTCCACCATTTTTAATATACATGTTGTTTTGATGTGAATATTTTTTAGAAATCCTAATAGATCGTTTTGTTTGTATAGATTTTTTACTTACATTAGTTTTTTTTGAAGTCATAGTATTAATACTTTCAGTATTGAATGTCGGTGTTTCATCAAAGCGTAGTAATTTAACAGCACAGTCAAAGTTCATTTCAGCAATTTGTTTAATAATCACTTGCGATTGAATACATCCAAGACATCTAAATTCAAAGTTTAATAATTAATGAAATTATTTTAATTTATAAGCTTATAATTTAGTTATGGTATACCAATTTGAAATATCCAGGGTAAGATTCAAAACTAAAAGTTTACTTTTGGTGACACTACGATTATCTACTTAACTCATACCTAAAAAAATAAAATTAAAATAATAATAAATATCAATGCATAAAATGGTAAATGCCACACGGGAAATTGTTTTTACTTCCTGAAAATTATATTATATATTATTATATCATTACTTCATATACTTCAAAGAATTTAAAGATATTTATAATTTTGTGGAGAGTAAATATAAATTTAAATTTTTTATTATGTTATATAAATTCAAAATGAGTATTATTCGTTAACATGTACTTGAAATTGTATACATTTAAAAACTAGTATAAAGCTATTAATAAATAAAAAAAGTAAACAATTAAAAATATACAGTGGGTTCCGCTTAATATGGGAAAAATGATCTGGTCTCAAATCCAATGTATACTAACAAGGTCAAAAAATTCCATATAATATGAGCACTCGGTTCAATCTAGAAACAAAATAAGCTTGGTATATTAACAATATACAGATTGTTAAGCGACCAACTGACAATATCGTAACATCAAAATTAAGATATTTTTCAAATTTAAGTAAATTTTGATTGACAAAACCAAATACTAAACAATCTTGTTGAAAATCTAAAACAATGTAATTATTAAAACTGTAAGTCAATGATGTCAATGAATGTATTTCAACAAGAGGTTGTAGAATTTGATAAATATTAATGCAGCACAAAACAATAAATATTTTACTCAGAACCAAATGGATACTAATAAAAATTAGTAAAGGAATTATGACTGGAAGTTGAATACAAAATTGCTAATGAAAATGATAGAATCATAGTTAATGCTTAATAATTGTAACTAAAGATTGCATGTTATAAATATTGTTAAAATTATACTAATAAAAAACGGTATTATGGTGGTACCAATTTATTACTATAATGTATACAAACCTCTCTAGAGCGAACACATGCTCATGGTAAACATGAAATCCATTGCACAAACTTCATAATAGCCGTTAGAAACATAGCAAAGAAGTCATGAAGACTGATTAAGGAAATCGGAAATTAAATATATATGACGAATATCGAGGAAATAACAAAAGTAAAAAGTGAATATGAACGTGAAAAATTCATAAATGGTTTAAAAATATTTGAATACTAAACTATATATATAGTACAAAAAATAACAATATTTGTGTTATCACTACTAGTGCATTGTACTGTTATCACATTTGATAATGGTATTTTTTCCATAGAGGAATACTTTATGATTTTTTCATAGCTACTGATCATAATAAATAGTTGTAACACTGGTGCAATAAGAAAACAAACATGTACACCATGTATGCGGTAACATGGGATGAACAAGTGATTACAAACTACTAAAAGCCACAATCCACAAATGTTGTAATTTATAACTAGTAATAAATATTAAAACAAGACAATAATTTTATAATATTCTTTGTTTTTAAAGTTTGTACGAGAAAGTTTTTTTCATACATTATTTTTAATTTAAAAAATATATTTTCATATACATTTAACAATTGAGTGGTATGGTCATTATCATTTGTAGGTAAACTTGCAAATTAAGATATAATTCTTCCCGGAAAATATTAACAATTTCTCTAGTTGGAAAACCCATGTAAATACGAACAATTAAAAGTTACATTAAATAATATATTACCTCTACTCAGATAATAAGAATTATATAACACAGAATTAACTAAAAAAATCATCATAAAACATGTAATTTTAAAAAATTGATTTTTCTATTAATTACATTAATTGTTATTATAAGCATCACAAAATATTTTTTACCTTAGGGTTTTTGGATAGGTAACACCACAAATATTGACAATTTCTTGATTAAAACAGAAAATTCCATAGCATAGTTCATTCCATCATTCTATAGCAATGTCAATGTACAAACTGAGGATGGATAATGAACTATTTATTAAAGCACACAATCATTTTTTGATCAGCGTTAATGACACAAATTTCGTCAATTATCGCCACAAACATAACCCACGTATTAATGTATTTTCTTTCAGTTTTACATATATTTAATGCACCGTGTAAGCGGTGTAGACATTTTTTAGATAGTTTAAAACTGAAATATAATAATAATGTGGGTTCTCGAGTTACGGAAAACTTGGAAAATTAAAACAATATTTTCCTGAAAATAGTGTTATCTTTTAGAAAATAACATTATAATCAAGCACCAACTCTGTTAACATCAGTGTTCAATTGATAATGAAATCTGTCGGTCGAATGTTGGTTTGGTATTATTGATGAACAAAAATAATTGTACATAAACAATGATACTAACATACGTACCTACAGCAGCATATCCAAACTATTTACGAATTATCATCATCTAATCATTACTATTTTTGGGAATGTACTACTCACGTAGTTCATAAATTTACGTAGTTCCGATTTTACGTGAATAATTTTTAAAATAAATTAATCCAGCCGCTCTAGTGACGATGACGTAAAAATCGCACGTGTGAATTGTTCTGCACTGTAGCGGCGACAACGGCGACTGCGACGATTGTCACGTTTCAACGCATGGTGCCCTGTTACCGCGGTATCAAACTTAACCCTCGGCATTCGGTTTAATCCGAGTTTAAACTTTTCCTGTGGCCAACTTTACTATTACGGACTAATCTCGGTCCGAATTCTGCGCGGTTGTGGGTCGAGATTATCTGCGACCAGCACCGCGGGCCACGTGGGGACGTGTGAAACCATAATGGACAGGTTAGCAGCCGCTCGACGTTGACGTACCAGGGTACCAAGAGTTTGGTAACTGACTACGATCGACAGACCGGACGAGTGCTTAGTAGAAGCGTACGTTCTCGCCGCGTACGTTTACGTTTACGTCAGTCCTTCGCTCTCGTTTATTCTAGAAGTGAGAATTTCGACTCAATTTAATAATTTAATTCACTTGAGTCATTTCGTTCCAATTATTTGATTCAGTGAGTCAACTCCTTCAATAAATTCTTATCAACTATATCGTCGGTTCCCAACCATTTTTGATTTTCGAAATCAATTTTGATATTGTCTTACCGTTTGCATGGAACACGTTATCAAATCATTATCGTCGTGTTTATTTAATCACAAATTGGGTACTTAAAGATTAAATAACATGTTTGTATAATCTGTATAATCTGTACTTAGGAGTACAGTGTTACGATATCGTAATACAGAGTGCGGCTAATGGACTCCCACATTTCTTAAAATAAAAATTATTTATTAAAAGTGTATAAGGTATTTTTTTAAAGTTATTTTTTAAAAATTATATCGTTTAAATTATGGAATTGACGAGTGATCCAAAAGCAAATTATTGTTTTCGAAAAGAATGCAATGGAAACTGCGACAATACTTTCAGGTGCTCCACAGACTTTGGACGTACAGTTGAATTCTAAGGCATTGCAAATCTTGTTGTTCTTAAATTGTTTGAGCAATTTAAACTCGTTTTTAGATCAGAAATCCCATTAATTGGGATTTAAATTGAAACGAGAGCAAAATGCTCTCTACGTTGCAGTCATACACTCAGAGTATTTGAAAAATGGTTCGATAACGAAACTACAATTTACACAGGATCACGAAATGGCGAAGACTAAAAACTTTATGAATTTCATCATCTAAGACCTGGTACAAACCGAATCATTTAAGTGTAATGTAACAGAATTCATGTTCACTTGAATGTTGTAACTAGGAATGGGCACTTTCCCGGGAAAGTAAAATCATGAACATGTCCGATAAAAGTTTCTGGGAGTATTCCCCATGTCAGAAAAGTTTAGGAAAAGTTTGTTTTAATAAAATTATCTTTCATATTGACTAATTATGGCGTTTTAAAATAGTAGAGACATTCAATAAACAACTGACAAGTTATACCAAGCACATTATGATATTTTATATTATGTACACATATTTACATACCACATACGCTGGTTGTTGACGTCGTTGTACGCGATAAGGTTATATTTTCTCAGTTATTATTATTTAAAACAAAAAAAAAACTATGAGATAAAATAAGAAGTATTCGTTGAATATACAATCAGGAAATCAATAAAATTATAAAATCAATAACTACAGGTTTTGATACACCAAATTGATCTTTTCTTTGAATTAATTTTCTGACTCATTCTCTCCTATTTTTCACTATACACTTTTTTTGTTTTAAAACTATTATTTTACCAATAACTCTAATCATAGTATAAATTAATTCTTAAGACATGATTTTAAGATTTGGAAAATTAAAATTGTAATATAAATTTACACAAAAAAAAAAGTACTAGATCAGATAGAATTTAACATAAAATATTTATAGAAAATATTAGCATAAAACAATAGCTGGTGTTGCATGTAGGAACTGTCATAAAATCAGATAATAGTACTATCGCCATAGGCTTGCGCAGTGTTTCAATTCGAGGGCAGCGAATATTTTTACCGTCCCATACATGAGTATTAAGTTAACATTTTTAAGCTCAAATTTAAGCTTCAAAGCCTATTTAAAGTTTAAACATAGAAAAGATTAGCTTGGTAGCAATACACTTTTTGGATAACCAACTTATTTTGTATTAAGCATTACCGGTGTGACGGCCCAGCTTGACCAGTTCGGCCCTTACAAATATATTCAACCTGTCCAGAGACAGTAAGAGCACACCTTGCTGCCCCTGTGCGCATGCCTATGACTGCCGCCGTGTAAACCCACCTTAAAACTAATAATTTTTATATAAGGGAAAGTTGGAAAAGTAGTCTGAAAGAAAATTCCCGGGAAAATAATTTTTCCCAGGAACTTTTACCGGAAACATTTCCAATGGGGCATCACTAGTTGTAACACATTATCGTGTGGAACAACGGCGTCGAACAATACGGTGATACACGACTGCGGATGGTTCTTATCGGGGCAACCTTTTTAATCGAAATTATAGTTTATCAACTGACTCCCGAATATTACACTATTGCGGACACATGTTGTCAATTTTAAAAATATAACTTGGATAATGTGGGAATGTGGAAATTCTGAGCGTATTAAGTTTAGTATGCGTTACAAGTCATTTTTGTTAAATACTACAGTTAAAAGAAATTAAATTAAAAAAGTTTAAAAGAAACTCAAAGCGAAACTGAGACAATTATTTCATCCATAAACAAAGGTCAAGAAAAATGGGTGGTTAAAAAAGATTTAGACAGAATCAACCTAACTGTTCAGAGCTAAAATGATTATAAAAATCCCCAAAACGTGATACAATATTTAAAAAAAATTAGTTGTCATTACAGGGGAAAAAAAATATAAATTTTTAACTTTAAATGTTTATATTGTATATTATTATATTAATAAACTGCGTCGCACAACTTGGCAACGTTTCATTAAATTTCGACCGCATTCGTGTCATTTTTTGAGTGTAAAATAATACCTTTTGTAATATAATGATCGTTCGCAATCGGGTTGCAATAAAGGTAAAGCGTCCGCAGTCTACCGTTGTACACATTAACATTTGTTAGTATTTTTCCGTATCATCGGAACGAATTTTAGCCGTTAAATCTTGTATTTCAACCAACACAGTTAGACCGAAAACATTACAATCAAAAATATACGAGCTGAATACCGGATAATCATTTGAATATAATATAATCATTTAATTAAGATATAATATAATACGTATGTGTTCGGCTCTCGTTGATATCGGGAAGAGAAAGTGGTGGCGGTAGCCAAACGCGTAGCGCCCCACGGCTGGGGCCCTGATACGGTCCATTGCATTTAGTACACGGCATTGATTATAGAAGTGTCTAGAATAGAATATACAACAGTAATTGTATGAAGTGGTATGCGGTTACACGGTACCCGGTCACCGGCGGTTTCGCCGACGCGGCTGCGGTTACCTGGTGCGCTGGCCCGTCGGATGCGGAACCCGACCACGGCCACTGGTCCAGTCTTCACGCGCCCAGGACGCGTACCTTTAAGAGAGGTTCCGCAGTACAAGGATCGCATGCGGATCACCGCCGTCGTCGATTCCGAAAAACCAAACCAAACTGTACACGTGCAGGCGGCCAAGCGTGCATAAGACCCTGGTCGCTCGGCTTGTCACTTTTTCACCATCGACATTCATTCCGCCGTAACGCCGTA